AAGACCCCCCCCCCCCCAACATTCAAAGGCCTAACCAAAATGGGGGAAATGCAGAGGGTCTTTGTCACGCAGGATTTCCTTCTATAATTCCCACCCCTTCCCCTCATCTGGAAGGAAGCTGCCCCCTCTTTATAACTTCCTGGATACGCCATCGAAGCTCTGTAAGGTTATAATGACGCAGTGTTCAATCAGTATGAGTGATGTTACATATATATTGCCCATCATTAATAATCATTATTTTATACGCCCCTTTCTGGGTTTTCTTTTGTAATGGGGTCGATAATTATAAGATAAGGCATTCAGTGATGAATACACTTAAGTTACTTATATTGGGTTTTTACAAACCCTGCAGCAAATGCTCGATTAAGATCACTTGTTACAAATTGAAACTCAAAATGTAGCCATGCATATTGTACCTAAATTTACTTATGATGTAGCATGAGTTTAATAGAGGGGGGGGGGGGGGGTTGGCCCAAGTCATGGGGGTCGCATGTAAAGGTATAAAGCCTGAGTTGAATTGGGGAGCGGGGAGGGTGGCCCAAGTCATACTTTTTTTTTCTTCCTTCAATTTTTCATTTGTCTCTTCCCCTCTCTCTCTCTCTCTCTCTCTCTCTCATTTTCCACCTGAATGTATCTCTCATCTATGTGTGTCTATTTCTCTCTCTCAGTTTCCCTCTCTTTCTCTTTCCATCCCTTTACTCCTGTCACCTTCTCATCGCAGTGGCGATCTCGGTCTATCAGGGCAAGATTCGTATGAAGATGCACCCTGAACAATAAAAGCAAAATGCATAAAACAAAAATCAATCATGGTCTTGGTTATTGGACTCAAGTCTCGATGACAACAGAACTGACAGCAAATGTTGACTATATATTGTGTGACCAACTATTATGTTACAGAAAGGTGAAGCACAAAGTCGGCCTAAAGGGTCACAAAATAATTCATTTTGTGGTTTTTTTAGGGAATTCCTTATGAGGAAGCTAATACTCTCTTTATATCCTTGAAAATCATTCCCTTTCTCCTAAAAGGTATGTAATCTGGAAAATATGTTTATCTTTATATTTTGATATGATATTTGATATCCTAGGTGAAAATAAGAACAATTATAAATTACTTCTTGGTATTATATTTAACTTACATTAAAAACGATAGCCAAATTCAAATTTATTCATGTTTCCAACAAAACATTACAGATCAATTATAAGCATTTAAAATAAATGCAAGAAATACATGTTGGAAACAGAGGGGTCCACTAAAAAGTAATGCTTGTACAAGTGTGAACACCTCAAATGATACTTAGGAATAATGAGTAATTAAATTAACCAATCTGTAACTACAAAAGGAACTACAAACCGAAATCAAATAGAACGATGACAATGAACCCGCCAGGTTCAACCCTCCCTCGAGCGTTCACCCTCCACGAGCTCTGTTCATGACGAGGATTCACAACCGGCTTGAAATATTTGCCGCGTAAATATACCCCCATCACTCATATCAAATCGTAATTTATCACCTCGATGTTTGGATGTAAAATAACAAACTATAAATACATGTATCTTGAATAAGAAAAGGCGGGCAGCTCGTTTTTTAGGGTTAGGGTGTTACGGAGGCAATTTGTCATGAAAAAGTTTCATGTTGGCACGCTTCGGTATGTCGAGGGGCCTTTTGTGTCAATCCAGGTGCTTGTTTGATGAAAATCACGTCGGGCTCACGTTTTCACTATCAATTGGTGGCATTCATACAGACAATATTTCCTTGCATGCAAGATTATCTTTCAGTTGCTATGAAATCATTGCATGACAGAGTCACCAATTCAGGATTAAGAAAGGAAAAAGCCTTGTCATTTTTCAGTCATTATTTGTTGGGGGAGGGGGTGGAGGTATTGAAATGGAAAATAGTATAGCCCTGCTCATAAATGGGTATTGGGATGACAATTTTATCAAATTTGAAATAGAATGAGCGAGAAAAGAAAGATGAAAACGTGAAAGAGGGAAAGGAAGTAGGGAAATATAGGAAAAGAGAAAGAGAGATAGAGAGAGAGGGAGAGAGAGAGATAGGGAGAGAACAGCAGGATGATAAAATAGAAGTTCAAATTCTTTCATTATCGGTTACTGACTGCACTTGCCTGTAATTGTGGTATGATAATCATACCTGCTGTCATGTGAACCTGTCACGTTAGATTACAAGTGGTGGCCCAAATTCTTTCAAGATATCGTTTCGATACCAGACACAATAAAACGAAATTTCTGCTCATTCAAACATTTCAGTCATGTTTCTGTTCCCTAATGCGTTCAGGAAATGGGAAGGAGATAACATTAAAAAATGACTATCTGCAAATATGCTTGAGAGAATAATTGTTCCATGCATACTGATGACTGGTTTGAAATTTGACAATAAGAAAGAGGCAATGAAACATGATTATAAGTCATCAAACGTGTTTTATAGCCAACTGTTCGAAATTATTTTGAAATAATCTCCCCCATCCCCCCCCCCCCCCTCTCTCTCCCTCTCCCGTCTAAAACATCATGTTTCATCTAGCATGGTAATGTCTTTGAAAAATTAAGATAAAATTATTTTATCCGTACACGTTTACTGAAGGCAAAATGTAGTCAACCAAGCCCTAAATGTTGACACAACCGTGTCTGCAACTTGGCAAACGAAAATGATATTGGCTAATATATAGCTATAACGTGGGTGTTCAGGTAATTTTCGTCGTACCGAGTGCATACATTAATGAATAAGCAAGGACACTGTTGATGCATAACAAAGGCAGGGCGTTTCATCACCATGATTACATTTATTAGCCTTGTCCTCTATCATGCTGCTCTTGGGTTGGTGACCATGCCTAAAACTTATAATATTAAAAACAGGGGAGTTCATGTATTTGTGGGTGTACAAAGTGCATACATATATGGATAAGCGAAGACAATGCTATGTATAACCAAGGCAGGCGTGTCACACCATGATTGCATTTTGCTGGCCTTGTTCTCTACTGCTCTTGGGTTGATAACCCGATGGTCACAGCGACCTAATACAAGGTCATATCGACCTAATACAACTGTCATAGAGAGATAAGGAAATCTACATGATAAAATGTTATAAAAAACTCTTTCAACCAATAATGATAATCAACAAGCAGTTATCAATTGAAGTGATATTGTAAAAAGAGATAGATAATATTATATGTATTTAATTTTTTTTTTTTTTTTTTTTTTTTTTTTTAGGGGGGTGGGGGGTAAGCGAAGTCTGCATATTGTGCAGGACAGTATCAGGACATTTACAATCGCACTAGATACCCAGGACAATGACCTCCTAAGGCGACCACCCCTTGGGCAACTACCTCAGGTCATTAACACAGTTATCTGTTTGACTCGCATTTCATTAAAATAGAATAATGCACCAGTAAACTCAAATTACAATCAGGCAAAATTATTGCAAACAACATTCTAATATCTAAAGGTTCAAACAAACTTTTCACCTGGTCACGCCCACTTCTTGAGCGAGAGCGGAACTTTATCGCCTAAGTTACCGTATGATAGCCAATCACGAGACTTCCTTGATAAGGCAATCGGTCATTGGCCTCTGCCATGCTTCATTGCGCATGCGTAAGCGAGTCATTCACTCTCCGTCAAATGCTATTAGTTCATAGCGTGAGATAAACAAATAGAAGCCAATTCTTTTGATTCATGACAAAAGTCTCGCGTAACTTTTTTTTCTTTGATTCTCGTTCCCACCTTTTCATTATTCCTCTCTTTTTTCATGTTTGTATTCGTACCGCGTCATTTCATCCTGTGCAGTGAGAATCGTTGGATCTGGCGCATGGTTGATCGAACTCTCGGAGCAGTTCAGCGACAGTGATCTAGGTAGATAAAAGCGCAGCTGCGAGTCGAAGAGCTTGTAGTTGTGACTTGGTCGTCGCTAGCTGTGCAAGCTCCCTCAAGCCTCACGTATACCAAACACAATTTGCACTCGTACACGTGCTAGAGTCCACAAACCGTAGACTCGATTTTTCTTTCATCAAATATCACTGCCGTTTCCGTGCGTAGACATCCCGCTCTTTGACTTCGCCAACTTCGTACTTCGAGAAAAAAGAAGCACCAAACACCCGCGGAATGTTCAAAGGAGACACACTTACTGATCTGTAGGGTGCTAAGAATGTTTGGGAAGTGTTTGGATTAGTGAATTCCGACCTCTCTTCGAGTTTCCTAACGTTACAGAGCCGTGATTTTTGTGCCCCGTGGCGGAGTATCGTATTCGCTTCTTCGCGTGCAGGAGGTGCGGCAGCGACAGGCGACAAATTGCCGCTTCAAAGAAAAACACCGTGGAAGGCGTTGGAATAGCCTCTGCAAGACCCGCCCTCCGTTGAAATACACCCACAACTGGATCGCAATTGTTGGTTAAAACTTAGATTATTCATAATCATTTCTTGGCTGTTGGATGTCATCATTACAGTCATACGTCTTTAGCCCTGTATGTATTTGTCACGTACAACTCTATAGAGGTAAAGCCGAGCAAAACACAAAAGTTGGATTAAATTGATAAATCATAAAAGCTTAAAGTGGGGCCAGCCATTTTGACAATAGTAGTTTAATCTCTATACCTCGACAATTTTATTCAATTTGTATGAACGACATTACTTCAAAGGCCATTCAAGGGTATTCTAGTTGTGTGACTGGGGATGAGTTTATCGACCTAAATATCATTGCTCCGCTGGAATGACCTACTTGTATAAGAGTCGTTTACTGCGTTCAAAGTCTAAAGAATGTCTTTAGAAATATGATTACAAACAACGCCAGTCAATGTATAAATTATTGTATACTTTTACCAAATGAAGGCAACACCTGGTTCAGTAGTCTGAATGTAGTAGGTCCATGGTTTGATTAAACGTCTGCTTTTAGAGATAGGGGAACAGTAACGGCGTTGAAACTTTAGTTATTTTGCCTCTGATAATTATATAGACGAACAGTATATATTCATCGATTTTGAACTCTCGACTAGGACCATGTGTTGTTTGATCTTGTTATCCGTCATTTGCATTATCGGCGTCACATTGTTCGTCTTCCGGTCCACTCGACCTAAGAAGATGCTCGATCCGACAGGTCGCGCGGTGGTCGTCACCGGATGCGACACCGGGTTCGGGCACGCCATCGCCAAGCGTTTCGACGAGGCGGGGTTCACGGTGTTTGCTGGAGTACTGTACCCAGAGAAGGCTGGAGCCATGAAGCTCCGTGCAGAGGGTTCGGAGAGGCTTCATGTGATCCACATGGACGTGACCAAGGATTCCCAGGTGCAGGAGGCTGTTGACTATGTCCAGAAGCACCTTCCTGATCCGGACAAAGGTAAGTCCCAATCCTCGAGACTATAATGCTCCAAAAACTCTTCATTGTCCAGTATATCACTTTAAATTTAAAGGGCCGAGGGTCACAGCGCTTTCAAAGTGTTGCATTTTGCTGGATCCAACGAATTAAAGATTGCATCTAGAGATGTGAATTCTTACTTTGTAGACGATGTCAGCATGGTCAGTCCGTCTATCTTCGGCCATTTCAGATGGTTTTAGCTTGTTGCAGGTAAATCCACTGCCATACGAAGCATTTTGGCCAAGTTATAGATGTTGAACATTTAGAAAACCGAATGAGCCGAAATTATATTTCCGTGTATTATGAATGTATTTCTTCGCAAAGCAATACATAACAAGAAATATATTTCTCTTGGACAGTGTACATGTCAGTTGACGTCGTCTGCATCTGAACTGACAAACTATAACCATGAGCAAATGAACGTGATTAAAATTTCCATGTTGTTAAATCATAATGTGTGAATTTTAGGTGAGACATATCAATATGATAAAATGACAAATATGAATACCTGCTTGGAAGTCAATGCTCGGTAACTGAACGAAAAAAGGTCCAGAAGCACCTTCCTGATCCGGACAAAGGTAAGTCCCAATCCTCGAGACTATAATGCTCCAAAAACTCTTCATTGTCCAGTATATCACTTTAAATTTAAAGGGCCGAGGGTCACAGCGCTTTCAAAGTGTTGCATTTTGCTGGATCCAACGAATTAAAGATTGCATCTAGAGATGTGAATTCTTACTTTGTAGACGATGTCAGCATGGTCAGTCCGTCTATCTTCGGCCATTTCAGATGGTTTTAGCTTGTTGCAGGTAAATCCACTGCCATACGAAGCATTTTGGCCAAGTTATAGATGTTGAACATTTAGAAAACCGAATGAGCCGAAATTATATTTCCGTGTATTATGAATGTATTTCTTCGCAAAGCAATACATAACAAGAAATATATTTCTCTTGGACAGTGTACATGTCAGTTGACGTCGTCTGCATCTGAACTGACAAACTATAACCATGAGCAAATGAACGTGATTAAAATTTCCATGTTGTTAAATCATAATGTGTGAATTTTAGGTGAGACATATCAATATGATAAAATGACAAATATGAATACCTGCTTGGAAGTCAATGCTCGGTAACTGAACGAAAAAAGGTCCTTCTCGCTGTCACCGAACATGATTGATTATATACAGATAACAAATAAGCAAAGATCATTGTATGCAATATCTGTATTCTAGTGGAAACTGTCAGTACACAGGTCAATATTGACTGTGAAGTTCAAATCCCGGTGTAGTTTGGGCTTTTGACTTTGAGTGATAAGTTGTAATAATCACGTAACACTGTGAGAACAAGAGTGATTGAGAATGTTTGCCTCTTCATCGATTGCGTTTTACTCTCAAACCTGGGTTCCTTCATCATAATTTGTTTCCACACCCACCTTATACTCTTAGGCTCACAATATTTGGAGAAATTATGAAAAATGTTACTCTCTTGTATGATGTCTACGAAAAAAGAAACCCCTCCATAGTATACCTCTATTTGAAGACAGCAGGCATATTTCCACCTACGTCCTTAAAGAAACATTAAACCAACTTTACAAAGATAGATTACTCTAATTCAACTTTTTCAGAGTTAGCGAATATAATTGACCCTCGATACTGTCCTTTTCCTTTATTTACGCCCCTATAACTCTAGTTAAAATAAGAGTAGGAAATCAGTTCACCAACAATACATTTCGAGAAATTAACTATCCACTTTTTGTTCATGAAGGCTATAAAATGGATTCCATGATTCCATTAGTGGCTCAGCAGAAACTGCCAAAACATGTCAACAGTATTGACAAGTCCATTACAGTGCTTAAAGACATATTATGAGGACAAGAGAGCATAAATTGTCCAACAACAAGTTTGAGGGTTCAAGCACAAACGCTATACATCAATGGCGATTTGGAAATGCCTTTTTTGCTCCAACATTCGTGAAAATATATATCATAAACCTGTTTTACTGTACATAAGGGCCTATAGTGTTGCTGAGGGGCATGCATGCGCCATATACATGATGTAGCTTTACTCCCATGGCCTGAGCAAGAACAAACGAATAATATTTCTTGAATTTGATAGGATTTATGAGGATTATTGCTTCGAGAGAAACTGGTCAAGGCCGGATGACCGGGCCATGACCTCAAACTACACTCCCTTTCGCCCAATGGAGGATCCAGGGTGCATGGCGGGGGCGGCCGGAGGTGTAACGGGGCGTGTGCCCCCAAGAGGAATAAAAGAGGTATCATGGAAGAAGAATCTTTCCTATTTTTTTTTCGTCAAAGAAATTTGAAGTAAAAACAGCACTTCAAAAACATGATGAACTTTGTATTAGTTATCACAGAATTGACGCACTTATGCCCCCCCCCCCACTCGCTAGCGAATCCTGGATCTGCCACTGCCCTCCCTCCCATGCTGATGATTCGTGCTTCTCGTTGTGGGACCATAATACGTTTACCATAAACCATACGTAGTTACTATGGTAACGAGGTACACCTTCCATGCCCATTGCTTTTCTCTCACATCAATCATACCAGAAGTTTTGATAGACGCATATTTTGTCAAAGTACTTTTACTTTAATTGTAATCAATTTTAACCGATGTCTCTTGATTCGTCGAGGTGTTAGCCTTCTTTTCTAAATGTATGCCCTCATTTGTTGAAAAACGCGATTTAAAAATCTTTGTTTTATTTATTAGCTTGTCATTTTATTTTTAAACTTGGGTAAATAGTAATTACATTATTATCCCTACCACAAATACAATGTTCAACAGTAGATGGTGACTTTTCTCCAACACTGCGCAGGTCAGCAAATGCGCAGATACGATACTGGGGAATTTCTGGCTTCCTCAGAGAATGTACAGCAGTGTCAACTAATTCCTTACTTCACTAAACTATTGTTCAGGTTTAATGAACTCCCTGAAGATTTGATAAGATCTATGTAGGCACCATAATGATAAGTTACTTATAATTACTTGGTTCCGAAACTATTATTTCTGTCGGTCTTCTCTACCCATTGTATTTCTATGAGAACCGGAAGTGCCTTTGCCAAATAAACCCATGACCCACCGGTGCTGCTTGATATAGCCAAATACCAAAAAAAGCAACCAAAATATGTGCATTCAGCGTTGTCACGATTTGCAACATTCTTCTGGACACTCTTTTAAACTTTTCATTTTAACAATACCAAAACTAATTTTTATAAACGAGATCCTTCATCTGCTTTTAAGAATGTCAAGTCAACGGAATTGATAATACGAATTTCCAATGTGATTCCTCAATTCCGCATGTTTACTTCGATGTTTTAAAAAAAAATTAGTACAACTGTGATTGTTTTTATTCACGCACTGTTGTTTTACCATGGAAAAACCAATAAAATACATAAATAAAATAAGTGATGAGTTTGCTAGATATATCCCCGTCACTTTTAAATAATAGTCATGTTAATAACAGATTCACGAAATATTCTCTTGATTCATACTTGAAAATTGCTTTTCTCCATTAAATTTTTTTTTTTAAAGAAAGCGACATGGAAAACCAAACGTCCTTTCGAAATAAGTAGGTCAATTCTAACCAAATAATACTATTATATGCACTGGTTATGATTTGTATCTCCTCGTCAAAATCGAGGCATAAAGCTAAAGAAGCAATGAAAATGAATAACTCTCTCTTATTCCCTTTTTGCCTTCAACCGCATGTCAATAAAGTAGTTTGTTGTTACGTTGAGTATCACTTACAAGTCGTCAAAATCGAGGCATAAAGCTAAAGAAGCAATGAAAATGAATAAATCTCTCTTATTCCCTTTTGCCTTCAACCGCATGTCAATAAAGTAGTTTATTATTACGTTGAGTATCACTTATAAGTCGTCAACATCGAGGCAGAAAGCTTTAAAAAAAAAGGAATAAAACGTTTTATGTGATGCACTTATAGACTTTTAGACTTTAGATTCTCCGTTTCTCTCTCACCTCCAGTCATACCTCGGTATTTGCCGACATTATCATCAGCATGTCCCCCCCCCCCCCCCCCCACCAGCCCTTCTTTGCTCCCCCTCCCCACCTCTCCATACACGTTCTTTCACCTTCTACTTTCTCATGAGTTGAACGTGCACCCTTTACTTGATCAGCTGACGGTGTATAGTTTACTTTGAAATATTGTTACCTTTGAAACCCATAGAAATCTAAAAATAACTTGATCGTTTCAGTACAAACATAGCGCTATAATTATGCACATGTTTAATTCTTCCCTGTGTCAACTTGTAAACTAACCTTCGATATTGACATCAGGTGTTCAGAACCTATTAAACCACTTTGTATTTACCCAACCCAGATAGATCGATAGATATGATAAATATTCCAGTAATATGTAACATAATGGTTCATGAATTGTGTTAGGGGTCGTTGACTCGAGTCTAGATAACCTTGCCTGTAGTGGGTATGTTTCTTGTGATCTTGTGGACTAGTCTCCGGACTCTGAACCACGGGGTACAGGGCTTCGAATCGATCAGGGACTTTTCGATTTGCGTGGACGTGGACGTGTGACTTCCTGTTAAGGCACTGGTAGTCACGTGTGACGTCCTTAAAGGATGCCACACGTTGCAGTTCACGTTCTCGTCGTGCAAATCGAAAAGTCCCTATTGTCGCACCAATAGCGTCATTTGGCAAGGCATTACTACACTTGCCACTCTCCACCCAGGTGTTAAAAAGGGTGCCAATAGAAAGGAATTTCTTGAATGCCGTGAGCGCCGGAATCGGTAGCCTAGCAAGAGCCGGGGTAATAATGGCTAATGAGCGTTATGAAAATATCCAATATTATAACAATTAAAGGGAGATAATTATGTGTATATAATATAATATAATATATAGTATATAATTGCATTATAGGTAAAGTCAAATCACTGGTACTAGTACTGTATATCATATTCGATGAAAAATGTAAGCTACTTTAGATTTCAAAAGCGAAACAATATTTCTCAATTATTTTTGAAGAAACAGATTAGTAAAAATAAGTATACTAAATTTGAAAGTCTTATTTTTAAATCTTAAAGTCTTACTTTTAAATCTAACAGAGACTGATATTAGTGACGAACCCTTTGGGATTTAAAATAAGTCTAAGCTAAGACTTGAAATTTTAAGTCCCTGAAAAGGTTTAAAATTTAAGTCAATTGGATTTATATTTCAAGTCTTTTAATATTTTTTTAAACCTTTCTTGGATTCATTTCAAAAATAAATCTAAGCTAAGACTTAAAATTTTAAGTCCCTGAAAGATTTAAAGTTTAAGTCAATTGTATTTATATTTCAAGTCTTTTAGATTTACTGGTCTAGCTAAGCCATTAGAACCATTTGGTAAAACTTCCAACCAATTGAACGGCAACAACACTTCAATACTGGTACGTCTGTATTATCAATGTAAAGGCATCGGTAATAAGTAGACTTATACATAATTTATATCGATTTTTTTTTCATATACTTGTATTTTATTGAAATTATTTTAGTTCATAGTTAATGTTTCCCTTATTCATGTTTAATTAAATGGAATTCATACGAAGTAGCGAAATGTCCTAATAACTTGTAATTTATATTTGTAGTATTTTCGAAATGAATTGCATATACCTAAATCATCAGTAATTAAGAAATATGCTGTAAATTCAGAAAAATTGTTAAAAAACATAGATCTGCACGCACCCCATATTCAATATGCAAATTAATTGGTGTCAGCTGGTTCAACTGGAAATATGCCAACAGTCAGTCATCAACAGGTGCAACTGGAAATA